TCATTTTATGCAAAAGCACACTTCGAATCATCTGTTTATGTTCTTATTGCTATCTCCAGGAAATATTCAAGGAAAACAAGTTAAAATTATTCCTTGAAAATCGTTTAGACTCTTTATCAACTATCACTCTCTTTCAACCAAGAAAATGTATAGTACTGATAATAAACTGATAAAGTTTTATAAAACAACGTTTGGTTCATAGCAGGAGGGGATAATTGTTGAATGAATTAATGGATTTTTAAGCCAAACTTTGTTGGCACAGTTAAGTCAAGGTTAAATCAAGAGAGAGCAGCTATGAGGGTATGACTTGACTGGGATAAAGCTGAACCGAATGCTCATGGAAGGTGTGTGGCAGGTAGATTTCTAAATGGTCTACAAGATGAGTACCACCAGGTGTACATGTAAGAGCCCAGCAGTGCTGTGGGTTAAATGTTTGGCTGCTAACTGCAAGGCCAGAAGCTCAAACTCACCAGTCACTCTGTGGGAGAAAGATGAGACGGTGTGCTCCTGTAAAGACTTACAGCCTCTGAAACCGAAAGGGGCAGTTGGACTGTGTCCTTCCTATAGGATCCTTGTAAGTGAGAACTGACTCAGTGGCAGTGGGTTTGGACTGGGGTTTTGGTTTGTGGTTCCCCACCTCCTTTGAGTGTGGGCACCATGAATAGACATGCTATCATTCCTGTGATTAGGTAACCCAACAGTTGGCTTTAAGTTAACCAAAAGGGAGACTAGATTAAAACCTTAATAAAAAAGATTCTCTCATGGGTCTCCAGGAGAAAGCAAACAGTCACCTGGTGAACTGGCTATGAAGAGAGGCAACCTCTAGACCTGGCTGGGGAACGTTCAGTCCACGGACCATATAAGGCTTGTAAACTCATTTGATCTAGTCTTGCCAAGGCAACTAAAGTTCCAGCCATCACGTTGTTGTTGTTGTTGTTATTGTTAAGTGCCATCAAGGTGGTTCTAACTCATAGGGACCATGTATAGGGTTTCTAAGGAGCAGCTGCTGGGTTTGAACTGCTGACTCTGTGATTCACAATCCAGTGCTGCTCCTACAGCGCCACACCAGCCACGTTGTTGTTGTTTGGTGTTGTCGAGTGATTCCGACTTTGTGGTTAGCAGTCCAGTGCTTATTTTGTAGCACCACACCAGGAGTTCAGTCATTACATTGTTGTTGTTGGTAGTGCCGTCGAGTCGATTCCGACCCATAGCGACCCTGTATAGGGTTTCCAAGGAGAAGCTGGTGAGCTTGAACCATCAACCTTGCAGTTCAAATGACTTTGCAGCCTGCTGCATTAGCCCACAGTGCCACATCAGTACTCCCGTTACATTAGGGGTGAGTTAATTAAATGTCGCACCAAATATAGCAGGCTAATTTTTAAGTTGATAATTTTGTATGGCCCGTGAATGATGTTTTAAATTTCGGCAGAGAACAGCATTTCTCACCCCTGCTCTAGACACTGAAGATCTGATTTCTGTACCCACAGGGAAATGCTAACAACTCGAGGATCTTGGAAGGGAGGCCTGTGCCTCTGCTGACATTGCATCCTCAACCAATACCTTGGTTTCCATCTTGTGAGACTACAGCAGAGGACCAGTCATGCGGAGATGGGACTCTGGACTCACAGAAACTATGATAAAATACATTCGTGTTATTTTAATCTACTAAATTTGCAGAGTCATGGTGTGGCACTGTAGGATTAGCACTGAACTGCTATCTGTGAAGTCAATGGTTCAAACCCACCAGTCACACCCCTGGAACCCTATACAGGGTTGCTATGAGTTAGAACCGACTCAACGACACTTAACAACAACAAGCTTGTGGTAATCTATAGTAATAAACAATTCTTATAACTATTACCTTAAGAAAACTAATTCTGGTACTAAATACAGCTGCCCTTATATTTTATTTTTCTTCAGTAAATTTTTGAAGAAGCCCTGCTTACCAGAAACATGGTGTAGAGCATGAATATCAGCAGCAAGTATTTCTTTCTTTCTAAAGCTTGTTTACTTACTCTCCCAATTATTTACTTACTCTCCCATTCTGGAGACAATGATATAAAAACCACAAATCAGGAGGTCTGGGCAAACATGTATTAGTGAGCAGTGAGAGCCCTTGCTGGCCCTTGGGGTTATAGTTGTTCACTAGTACTAACTCTCTTCCCCAAACTAAATGATAATGAGAACAACAATAGCTTAGTTGTTTTAGCTTTGAATTTCGGCTTAAAGGCAATGAATCAAAGTTGCAACCAAAGCAGGAAAGGGACCTTGTCTAAAAGTGACTGTCTTTCTGATTGCCAGCAGAAACAAATCTACGCAAAAGCAGGGAATGAAAGGAAATGTATACAAAGCTCAGCTTGTCTACTGTCTTTCAGACTCTGACCTTGAATGAAGCACACCAGAATTACTGCGAGAAGAAATCTGACCAGACAATGATGCTGCTTCTCCCTCCTCCCCGCCCGGCTTCTTTTTCGAAAAGAACACAGTCTGGTCCCAACTTTCCCTTTTTTTTTTATCTTCATGTTCTGCCAACATAAATACCAACTCCAGCATTTTAACTAGGGGAGTTGCCATGGGGATGTAAGAAACACATGCAGAGAGGCGGTGGCTACAGCACAGAGAAGGACCCAGACGGAGGCCACCAGTCGCTTGGGCTTGGCATCGTGGGGAATGACCTACACTGAGGAAGCCAGGCTGACATCAGCCCTTGAGGCCCAGAGGGTGGCTCTGCCCTCCCCCAGTCCATCACCACACCTACTTGGGAAGCCCACTGCCTTTGAAATGATTCGGATTCAGAGCAGGAAAAGCTATCTTTAATTTTCTTTTCTTTTAATTGACTGGAGGAATTCTATTGGCCCAAAGATATATTTTGCTAGCTGGCACTCTCATTTCATAGCCCAATATGACCCAAGATGCATCAACTGAGAGGCAGTTTAGAAGATGATGCTAGGGAAGTTTAAAGAAGCTCACAAGCTGTGAGGACTGTATTTGTGGGTACAAGAGGTGAATACCACCCACAAGATTTTAGAGGTGAAAAAATTCAGGCAGATCACTTAAGTTTTCTGTATGACTGAAAAGACACAACATAGAGACAAAACTATAGATCAGAAAATGGTATACTGACCCCTGATATACCTTTACATTCTGGTAATAGAAGTCTTGAAGACAACAAAACCATGAAAGATGACACCTGCATTTTAAAAAAACGACGAGGACTCCTGGTGTGGCGCTGTAGGACAAGTACTGGACTACTAACCGCAAGGTCAGTGGTTCAAACGTTACCAGCTGCTCCTCAGAAACCCTATACAAGGTAGCTATGAGTTAGAACTGACTCAAAGGCATTGAACGACAACAGTTTAGGATGAACTACAACTCACAAAAGACAACCATGTTCCCAAAATGTATTTTCTAGGTGAATTATCAATATACTCTTCTCAAGTAGATAAAGGGTAGGATTTTCACTATCACAGACTGGAAAGCAGAAGCAAAAGGAAAGAAAGAGGCTGGCATGAAGTCATTGAGCCAGACAGAATAGAGTAACCAAGAACTGATGACTTACTCCCTGTTTGTAACTTTTCTTTCTTTCCTTTTTTTTTTAAACAAGAGTGAGGAGGTTTTCTTGATTTGATTTTGCAAAATCAGGTGTACAACCAAGTAGACATGGGCAGACATGCCGCATGGCTTGCCCGCAAACAGTTTTATTCCCCATCTCGAAAAAGTCCCTCCTCTATTTCCACAAACTAGCCTGAATGGTACCCATGGTCTGAATGACTGTATTCTTTTTTAAATTTCCTAGTCTTGGAACAGATTTCTTTCCCCACACCCTCAATTCATCCTGCTTACATATCCCTGGATGTGAATCAACAATCTATTGCTATGTCTAGCAATCTCATGCACCCTTTATTCCTGAAGATGGACCATCTTGAGAATTTCTCACAAGTCCTCCTCTTTTCTCTTTACACTTATTGGTCTCATCTTCACTTATTCTTAAATCCTCAAAGTGTATCATTTCTGGATGTCCCTATGAGTAGATCTAACTATGCCTATATTAGGTTGCATCATATTTGTGCCTGACATAATATAACTAAAACATGTACAACCGAAACCACGTCAGCCCCAATCTCCTCTTATATTTCACAAATGAACAAAGTAAAAATATTTGATGCACACATAAATGCCTGTAGCCACACAGCCTCATTCAGTCCATGGGCCTGGAGTCCATAGCTGTTCCATCTTTCCATGTCACCACCTCTGCCATCATCTCTGCTGTTGCTGCTTCTTTAGGGAGGGATTCCAAGCTCCACTCATCTTTTTTTTTTTTTAACCTTTTCTACCCATGAATTTTCAACTGAATTTTTTAGCAACTAAAGTCCCAAGCAGTAATGGCAGATAGAAAACACCAACCCTCAGTGGAAAATTTGGTCCATATCAGACAAGCCTCTTATCACCATACACTTCAATGAAGCAAGTCTCATTCATCTTTGTACTTCTAAAATGCAGCTCTGAGTCTGGCACCTGGTAATCTATTTATAAATATTTGTCGAATCAAACTGAAAGCACTTTTATCTATATATAGTATGGTAGGAAAGATTCTACCTCTCCAACACACTGAACTGTCTTTGTTGGAGAAAGTATCACTGTAGAGTGCAGATAGGACACTAAGGACCCATAGTTACAAGACAATTCTATGACAGAGGCACCTAGGGCTCTAATCCTGCCATTTCTGTTGCTATAGCTACGTCATCCTTGCTGCTCACACTGAGTGAGACGTATTGGCTATAAACATCATTCCTTCCAATCATGAATCACTCACTTCTCAGGTGCTATATGAAACCAATGGCCCACCCAGTCTCACAGCCCTTCTTGACCTAAGACCTTTCCTCAGGCTTCCTTTGGGTTCAGCATTGAACTGGATGGCACTGGAGGCCTTTACTGAGTGCCAGCCCACAGATCCCAAGCGTGATGAGTGGGTCAACCCAGAACAGCCCGTCTTGACTCACCGTGCATCCAGGAACCGGGAACGCAGGATCATGACGGCCTCACATGTGCTCTGCTTCAACTGCATCTGGATGGAGCTGAACTTGCGGTGGATGATACTGACCATCCGCTCGATCTCCTTTGGGGAGATGGGCCTGGTCCGGCTCTGCTCTCGCAGGAGATTCATCACGTGGGTGGTGAACTCGTTGCATGCCTGGAAAGGCAGGACAATAAACAACGGGAGATGCTGGGAGACTGAGCCTTTGCACACACCCAGTCTGTAAAGTAAGTCTGTGTAAAACTAAGGAACAGCATGAATAACTGCCTGAAAATCCTTTTTAGTCCCTGTATATCTAAGTTTAGGCCCGATGTAGGCCTTTTTTTTAAGGGAAAAGAAAATTCTTAATCATATTTTTTTCCTTTTTTTTTACTGAGTGAAAGGCAAGAACACAGATTCTAGTATAAAACACATTTCACCACCTTATCCCTGAGTCATGTAAACCATTCACGGGTTTTGTTATTGAAAGGTTGGAAGCTTGAGTTAGTTCACCTAGAGGCACCTTGGAAGAGAGGTCTCGTGATCTATTTCTGAAAAGATGAGCTACTGAAAAGGCTATGAAGCACAGTTCTACTCTAACACCACAGAGTTTCCATAAATAGAAATTGGTTCAATGGCAACTGGTCTTGGCCACAAGCCTTTGCTTAGAAGTTAACCAAGGAAATTTTGGGGTCAAATACAGCATGAGTTATCTGCCATGCCCACTATCTCGATGTATGAGAGCTTTCAAATATTCAATTTGGGACAGATAAATAGCCAACAATGTTCAAGTGGAATCGTGGAATTAAAAGCCTCGATAACTCGTCTATGCGATTTGTCATGAATCTATTTCTACTTCTAGTTGTAATATATGAATCCTACCACAGAACTATCAATGCCACATACTTCCTCCTATGGTCATCTTCTGAAGAGTCACTGTATCTATAACACAAAGAAAATCTGACCCCAGGAGCCTTATAATGGAAACGACATCAAAATATTATATAGAGGATTCAGGAACTATCGCTACAGAAGTGAAAACTCCAAGGTTTCGAATCAATTCACCATCGGTGCTAGAACTAAAATTAGAGATCATGTGTCCTACACTCTTATTTTCCAGTTGGCAAAACTGTGGCCCAGAGAGATGAGAGGAAATTCCCAAAGGCAAATGAAAAGCCACAGAGTCATATTCCAAGCCAGGGACTTCCTTCCCTTCCTAGAGCCTGGGCTTGCTGAAATCAATTGCCCCTTTTTCCCATTAACATCTCTAGTCACATTTCCTTGGTTGGGCATTCAATAAGATATCTATTCACAGGTTAACTCACAGGAATGTTGTAATACTATAAGATTTGTAATGAAAAAGGCAAGATGATGCTTTGAGACTTGAAGAATTAAGAGTTCACAGGACTCTAAGTTAATACTAACAGCAGAGACACACTCATCATTGATAAGATTGTGCTGCTGTTGTTTTTACAGATTTGTCAATAACGCCGTCATAATAACAGTAACACACATTCACTGTGTGTTTCTCTTAAAGAGATCCATAGAGGTTGCTTGTCTAATGGTGCACAGACTATATCTGTACTGCGGAGTGAGAGGTCTGCCTTCTGGAGCCATCTCTGTGAGTACTGGGTTAATCCCTTCACTGCTCAGCACTTGGCTTTGTTCATCTGTTGCTAGCTGCTAACAAGTCAGTTCCTGGCTCATGGTGATCCAACACGCACCAGAACTGCCCAGTCCTGCACCATTCCATGATTGTTTGTGGCTGAGAATATTGGGATCCATAGGATTTTCATAGGCAGATTTTCACCAGGCCTTTAAGCTCCAATGAAACCTGCTCAGGTGAGACCAACACACAAGCCTCCAGTGACCTGAGGTGAACTGGGAAAAATTCTGATCTGGATCTCAGGGGAGAATCCTACCACAGAACTACCAATGCCACACACTTACTCATCCAAGTCTAATTCTCATCATTCCTAGTCCTCTAGCTGGAGTCCTGGTGTGGTGCTGTGGGATAAAGCACTAGATCACAAGGTCTATTTGATCTACAAGGCCAATTTTTCAAACTCACCAGCTGCTCCCTGAAAACCCTATAAAGGGTCACTTTGAGTTGGAACTGACTCAATGGCACTTAACAACAACAACAATCTTTTAGCGAAAGATCCCTGGTGGTGTTGTAGATTAAGCATTGGGATACTAACTGCAAGTCGGCAGTTCAAACCTAACAGAAGCTCTTGGGAAGAAAGAGGAGAGCTGTCTGCTCTTGTAAAGATATATAATTTGAGAAACCCTTAGGAGCACATCTGTTCTGTCCTATAGGGTTGCTGTGAGTTAGAATTGACTCGATGGAAGTGGTTTTGGTTTGGGGTCATCCTTCAACAAAGGACCCCTGGTGACACAATGGTTAAGAAGAACCAGCGTCTAGCCACAAGGTTGGTGGTTTGAATCCACCCATGGATTCCAGGGAGAAAGACCTGGTGATCTGTTT